ATCGCCGGTCCCGCGATCAAGAGGACTCTGAAGACCGTGGGGTTTACCGTCTCCGATCGGCAATCACACCGCGCGAAGAAGCGCATTGCGACCGCGTCTAAGGAGGATGAAGCGGGTGTCATTTCGCGTCTTCCATCCCTTTTCGAAGGGATCGAGCGCGATTGTCCGGGTTCGGTCGCCACCGTCGAGGTAAGAGTTTGATCGGGACCCTTTTGTTCAATGTGCACGTGATGCAGCCGTGCAAGGTTGGGCAAGGACTCCAGGCAACAGCAATACCACATGTACCCTAGCATGTTGTAGATGTGCCGTCGTCACGTTCCGTAGGCTCTGGGCACAACTGTAGGCTACCCTCGCTTCTTACTCGCCTCCATCCAAATANCAAGGCGAGCGCATCTCTTTCGTGATTCTCGTGCAGACGTTGCTGGCTTGTCATTTTCGCTGAGATTTACCAAGCTATTAGGTAGACTATGTATTCAAACCCTGGCGAGCGCCATTGGCCATTGAAGCCGTGGAGAGCCAGTAAAAAAGTCACAAACAATACGTTTGTCACGTCGATGCGCTTTTAGGTCGAACGGTACGACACAGCATCCTTGAACCCTCTACATCATTTGTTTTCGAGGAATGAACTCGCGGGGGATAGAAGCAGTGTTGTTCTGAAACCCGCAGCGAGGTTTGCGCAGGCACAAGTGATTTTCATTTTCAGGTAACAATCGATTGCGCGCTGACTTTCCAGCCACACAAAATCGAAATTACGACCAGCCATGTCTCGAGCTCACCAGCAAAGTCGGTTACTATGCATATGTATTGTAGCCCACCTCTGAGGACATTTGAGGCTTATACCAAGTGGTCCGAGCTCACCAGCAAAGTCGGTTACTATGCATATGTATTGTAGTCCACCTCTGAGGACATTTGAGGCTTATACCAAGTGGTCCGAGGAAGGCCATCAGCAATTGCTCCTCAGCTTCAGACTTGAGCCCCGGGTTGAATTTTGCACTTTGGTTGGCGCGCCATGTCTCGTAGCGCAATGGGGTCAAGTGATCATTCTGGCGACAGCAGTTCTCATATTTGTTCGTGGTACGCCGTGTACTGCGTGTGTGTACCCTCTCTAACAACATGGGGCCGAACAATTGCATCACGGAGATCCGGTGGAGGTTTGAAGTGGTGTCAGCAGTAATGGATAATCGACTACTACCTGCTTTTTGTCTCGAACGGGCAATATCTCTGTGTTCGAGTGTATGTCTTCCTTCGGCACTTTCCTCTTGTCAACGAAATGCTGCTGCTTGTGACCGTGGTACCTCAAACACCACGGCAATGCTGTAACCGACATTGCTGTGGTTGCATGTACCTCAACCAGCGTGTTCCCAGTGTTGTTCAAAACGAGCAGTAGCTTGTTTAACGGTTAACGCCATCCGTGCGAGGAACGGTGGACAAGGACTGCTGTTCCCTTCAAAATTTATTTCAATTGAAAGAACCGACAGAAAAGAAGGCACCCAGAGAAAGAGAAAGTGAGAAAAAACGGGGGGGATGCCCGCGTCAACCGACAAGGGTTGGGTAACATTGCGACCTCATCCTACTATCGGTACAATTGGGGGGTGTATTAGGGCCGGTTTTTGTTCCAGGTGTAAGCCTACAGATTCGTACAACAGCAGCAATACAGAAAGCAGCATACCGGCCACGGAAAAGGCTTTCCTACTACCCTTGGCGGCATATCGCATTTCACCTGGGTGCTAGCTCTCACTCTTGCCGTTTTGGTAATGTTCTACCGTCCGTTTGCACGAATCCGAGACTACGTCGATNGTTGGGTAACATTGCGACCTCATCCTACTATCGGTACAATTGGGGGGTGTATTAGGGCCGGTTTTTGTTCCAGGTGTAAGCCTACAGATTCGTACAACAGCAGCAATACAGAAAGCAGCATACCGGCCACGGAAAAGGCTTTCCTACTACCCTTGGCGGCATATCGCATTTCACCTGTTTGCTAGCTCTCACTCTTGCCGTTTTGGTAATGTTCTACCGTCCGTTTGCACGAATCCGAGACTACGTCGTATGATGACATGTTGCTCCAGCTCTCGCCCTTCTCTGGACTTGCTTCGATTACAGCGCATTTCTGGAACTGTACTCGTCGACATTGCTTCGCAGGTTGATGGGCGCCCGCGTCCCAAACAGGTGATGGGATTCAGAGAGGGCGAGCCCAAACAACACTCCGGCAGCAACGCAAGTAGTGCCTTACGAGACCTCCCAGCACTTAAAACCGTTTGATCTTGCCCTTACGAAATATCCAATTCTCCGCCCCGCCGTTCTGAACAGATGGTGGCCATGGACGCTGGCCACCTCAAGGGTTCGTGGAAGGGAGTCATGTACGTCCTCTGCATGCACGACAGCAACAACAAGAAAGATCATCCACGTCAGCACTGTACTCGCAGACAAGGAGAACGTGACGAACTACAACTTCCTTCCAGCAGACCTGCCAGAACGAGCACATGCATCGACTTCTTTCGTCCGGCGAGGTGACGTTCTTCATCGACGGTCACAAAGGATCACCGGCGGCCCTCAGGGCGGTTGTACCGCAAGCGCCATGGCGTGCGTGCGTGAGGCACCTCATCACCAACAAAAACATGAAGGCAATGGGACACGTGAGTAGAATTTGGGGAATAGTGACGTTTGTTGTTGGGGTTTTCCAAATGAAATGATCAAGAGTTTCGCTGCATGTCGTCGCGCATAGCAACCTTTATTAATATGTGTAGAGTATCGGACAGCCAATAGAACATTTCCCTGCTGGTGGAGTCCAGGTGCACAAGATGAGGCACTGGCCCAACTTGAACACTTGACCATCACCCCCCCAGAGAGCCGGAAAGTTCTTTGCTACAATATTGCCTCGTCGTTGGAATTTCAGCCCCTTTCTCGCAAACCGCATGTACCGTATATTGGGGGACACGTCGTGTGCTACTTGCGACGACGCTTCACGCGTAGTTTGAGCGGATCACGTGTTAGGGCGTGAGGGATGGTGCAGTCTTATGAACTGCAGCTTCTGTGCATCGCGGAAAGGGACCCAAAACTGTATGTACGACTCTCGGGCCGCCATCGCACCCCCCCAAAAAAACGCTCATGACTTGCTGTGCTAGAAAACGTTCCCACCCATATTTTTGCACCCTTGTAGGAGAAGGTAACTCATCTTGCGTGCGTGGGAATATGGATGTGTGACGGTTGTTGAGCCACAGATGTTGCGTTGTGAGTAATGGACCTCCTGTCAAACAAATATTGCAAGAACGCCTCCCCAGCACTTGTTTTTCTGCGCCCGTTCCATGTTTCTGGCGCCAGCAGACGCACCTCTCGGTGACGATACATGTTCAGCTCATCAGCCGGGGTCACGCACAACTCTTCTTTGCCCCTTTCGTTATTGTTTCTCCTACCCAATTTTCCCTGTCTCGGGCTGCAACGCAGGCCTCTTCAGTGGCGGTTTACCGAGCGGCGGTGATGCCTACCAAGGCCCTGTTTGAGGAGGCAATTGAGTCAGTCAAGGAGGACTTCCCGGCCAACTACAACCTCCTCATGAAAAACGACCTTGACAAATGGACACACCATGCCACCCCCAGCAACCTGGTCAACCTGAAGATGTCCACCTCCAACTCTGCGGAGTCCACCATTTCCGCGGTCGGCCACCAGGTTGGTGAACGAAAGGGGTGGATATGTTGAAAAGCCTTTTGCAGGTCCGAATTGACGCACTATACCCTTCAAGAGGAGCGTTTCTCGCTGGATCTCATAGCTGGTGCGTCAGGATGTCCTCTCACTCAGCGTCAAGCGGCAGATGTCGGTTCCCGTGTGGGCGTACAAAGGAGCCAGCGTTTTGTGAAGCCCCCGACAGCCGACCACTGTAGTTCCGAGTGTTCTCTATTGACATTCCCATCGCTTCTTCTCATTGATGCATGTTATCTTGTGTCGTGAATGTTGGTGGTAATCGAAGTGGTATTTAGTAGGTGCCTTTGTTTTCGGTGGGTCGATCCAACATGAAAGAATCCAAGATGAAGCGACTATGTACCATCCCTCACTACTATACATCCGCATAAAAAATACTTGGTGGATGGGTGCATTTCTGTTTCCCATCCGGAGAGTATCGTAGCCCCTCCCTTGTCACCCGTTGGTCAGCGTGTCAGCAGGGTCCATGCTAAACGTGAGGACACATGTACATTCTCACCCAATTTTATTATTGTTAGGAATCCTGCAGTCCCGATTCTTCAACGGCCACTTGTCCGTGTGTTGTGATTTCCTTCTCTACGCACCAGTGTGTGCGGCAAAAGCTTTTTATGGTGTTCCTTTTTAACTCGTCAGCGTCTGAATCGTTGATGTGTCCCTTTTCCGTTGTTGACGTTTGTTGCTCGCAGAAACGGGAAATGGACCCTTATCATTTCCACATTGAGATTGCGGAGAAAACTGCGGAGCAACTCGCAACGAATGCCGAACTACTGAAAGACTGCCATGCCAACCTCGTTCCATTCGCGGCCAAGTTCATGGAGGACGAGAGGTTGCTCAGTCTTAAGTAAGTACCGGGGCAACCACGCCTGGTGCGTTCCTTGTTCTTTCCTCCGTTAATTCTACGGCTGCGTGGTCGGTTGGGTGTAGTACGACCCCGTCGGTTGGGCGATCCACCCATGCTGTCTCACTCTTTGTGAGTCCATGATTTATTCGTCCGTTTCGGCTGTCGTTTTGTGTGTAGTGCACTCTTGACAACCAGAGAATGACACCTGTCTTTCGTCGACGGCACAAACTCTGTTTCGTCTGCTTTCTTCCCTTCCTTCTTTGGTTCATGGCGTTGGCCCCACTCGTCGGCAGCAAGCACGTCAAGAGCATGGGCTTGGGCACCTACCTTGCTCAGGAGCACGGCAAGAGCCAGTACGGCAACAGGGTGACAATCGTGCTGCCGGACACGGAAGGGAAAGGTGGCCGCGTCGAGTGCACCTGCAGAGTCCCTACCAGGTTCCACCACCTGTGCCAGGACGCCCTCGCGGTGTTGAAATGTAAGCCTCCTCCATCGGGTTGAAAACATGGATCGCAACTGATTATTGGGTCATTCAATCTTCGGCTTGGTGTCCTCTGTTGGCCGTCTGTGATCCGTGTGCATTCTGTATGTTTTATTCTCGCAGCTCACGTGCAATGTGCGTATCTCGTCTCTGGGTTTTCCTCTGGTCATCTGTCTTTCGAAGTTGTTCTTTCTTGGCCCTTCTTTCTTTTGCCTTTGGCACAAGCTCACCGTTGGCTGTGAACGAGGTTCACGTAGAATGAAGTGGGATTCCGTCTGCCTGTGCATGCCATTTATGTCACCAAGCTATTCAGCACCCACCCCCTCTGGATGGATTTCCATGAAGGCAGGCAGAGGTTGATGAACGTGTTACCACTGCTTGGGAGGAGTGTGAGCTCTTGGACAAACATCCCCTCGTTGGTATTGTTCAATGATGCTTTGCTAGAAGCACGGGATTCATGCCTTGCCGAAAACACGTCGCTACGTCGGATGTTGACTAAGGTGAGCTCCAGGATAAGACNGCCTGTGCATGCCATTTATGTCACCAAGCTATTCAGCACCCACCCCCTCTGGATGGATTTCCATGAAGGCAGGCAGAGGTTGATGAACGTGTTACCACTGCTTGGGAGGAGTGTGAGCTCTTGGACAAACATCCCCTCGTTGGTATTGTTCAATGATGCTTTGCTAGAAGCACGGGATTCATGCCTTGCCGAAAACACGTCGCTACGTCGGATGTTGACTAAGGTGAGCTCCAGGATAAGACAAAAACGAAGATGGATGAAAACAGCCCTGGTTTTCACACAACTTAGCGAACACATTTTGTGGTGATCGGGCTCCTCGGTCGGTTGGTGTATTTGCCCATATCCGTAGCACCGGTCACACATCCGTGTCCGGCAGCACGAGTACCCTTCTAACGGCCATGTTCTTTGAAGGGAACCCACAAGCACCCTTCTAACGGCCGTGTTCTGTGAAAGGAACCCACGTGGAGGCGTCGTAGGAAAGGCAAGGCTATTTTGGGCATCCATGACACGGTGACCTGGTAGCTTATGACGAGAAACCCAAGCTACCATCGTTCCTGCTTTGAATGCAGTCCGTTTTGACTCCGTCCGCGTTTTGCTTCTTCTATCATGGCCCTTCTATCATTGTCTTTGTGTCCACTACTCCTCGCAAATATTCTCACTGCTTCTCTTTTGAGCTAGCTCTCTATTCCTTTTGGAAGGGCAGGGTTCTCTTCCAGGTCGTATCTTCCTTCTTGGTTCATTGCGTGCTTTCGTGCTACTTTCCTCCGCAGTGGGATCGTTTCGGTCTTNCTACTCCTCGCAAGTATTCTCACTGCTTCTCTTTTGAGCTAGCTCTCTATTCCTTGGAAGGGCAGAGTTCTCTTCCAGGTCGTCTCTTCCTTCTTGGTTCATTGCGTGCTTTCGTGCTACTTTCCTCCGCAGTGGGATCGTTTCGGTCTTCCGTTCGCACCGGGGAGGACTTGGCGCGGGCAATAGCGGGATGAGGGAGGGTGACAAACCAAAGAACACAAAAAATCCGACGCTCGAGTACAATTAATTGACCGTTCTTTGACGACTCTTGGCCCAACCCGCCTCTTCCCTATGCCGTGACAGCAATCGACAGGCTTGACTGCACGAGGGCGCTTATTGATAGCAGGTACACACTGGCTTCCTACAGGGTGCTCCACACCCACCCCGACTATCCCGTCGTACTTCCGATCTGGTCAGAGCTTTCCAAGGGCGACCTCCTGCCCCCGCGGCAGGTGACCCGGCAAGCTGGTGCTCCGAAGAAGCACCGTGCCCCCCGGCAGCGTTCCCGATTCCCTGGTCGCAACGACAACTGCCAGCGCGGACGCGGCAACGTAGCCCAAGACGGAGGTGGTCGTGGCGGCGGGCCTGCCGCCGGGGGAGGGGGTGGTCGTGGCGGGGGCGGCAACTCTCGGCCCGTCCCGGTACATGGGATGGGCAGTGTTCGCAGCCACGTGGGAGACCTCAACGTCGGAGGTTCCGCGGGCGAGCGACCTACCGGGAGGTTGTGGGGGGGGCTCGCGGTTCAGCGCTACGGCTCGCAAGACGCTTCCGGCAACGACCACGCAGCGGGGGCGGGGGCCGGGTCATGCGCTATGCTGAGTCAATCCCAAGGCTCCATCGACCTTGTCGTAGCTCAAGTGGTTCGACTCGTAGCTCAAGTGGTTTGACTCGTCTTAGGGTTACGTAAATTGGGCCTTTGAATCTCTTCGTCGCACGTTGTCGGAGTCAAATACGACGCTGTAGTCCGTGAATGGCAGGGCGCAAGAGGTCGAANGGGGCCGGGTCATGCGCTATGCTGAGTCAATCCCAAGGCTCCATCGACCTTGTCGTAGCTCAAGTGGTTCGACTCGTAGCTCAAGTGGTTTGACTCGTCTTAGGGTTACGTAAATTGGGCCTTTGAATCTCTTCGTCGCACGTTGTCGGAGTCAAATACGACGCTGTAGTCCGTGAATGGCAGGGCGCAAGAGGTCGAATGTGTGCAGATTTGCGTAAAGCACCCGCGACGGCGGGGCGCGTGTTGTAGCGCCTAATTTATCGTGCCAGATTCCAAATGCTATGCACAACAGACAAAGATGAATAGCGAAATTGTCGAATAAGCCACGCACGCATATGACTTCGACTTGGCTTGAAAAATGGGTAGAACCGTCGAGCCCCAAGAGGAAGCTGTTGTGAAGGACGGTTATCGTCAGCCATGCGCACGCACGTACCTGCAAACCGCTTCTCACGATAATCGCGAAGAAGAGCGTTTGCGGAAGTGGCCCTTCACCCCAACAGACAGATTCGCAACCGAATAACTAATCCACCGTAAACGCCCGTTACCCAAACGTGCACTTGTCAACGGGGGAGGAGGGTACAGTGCGTCGTGTAGAAACACAGAACGCAAGTGTTGGACGCGCCCCCAGACATAGTTGCCGGTCCACGTCTGCACCGATTAGTGGTGATGTACACAGCGAAAATAAATTTGGCCACAAGCTTAACATTTTGGACGCCATGCGTTTACTGTGTTCTACTGCTGCACGATGGCAACACTACGTGCGAAGAGTCTACTACAGTACCACACCGCCAAAGAAAGGTGTGTTTGGTGTTACCTCGGCAAGCAAACATGCATCTGCAGCATTTAACTCTGTATGGGTCGTTGTGCACATTTGGATGGCTTTCGGTGCGTGCGTGCACACAGAATGTTGCACCACCTTCTGGCCTCGTGTCGCAGCTTCTACACGATTCACTGGGGGGGGGGGTTACGGCTGTCTGCTGTGCATATAGCGGTGGGTACGTGTACATATAGTCTATGTCATGTACGTCCACCTGTCGGAAAAAGTACCTTAGAACAGTTGTTGTTGTTGNAATGTTGCACCACCTTCTGGCCTCGTGTCGCAGCTTCTACATGATTCACTGGGGGGGGGGGTTACGGCTGTCTGCTGCGCATACAGCGGTGGGTACGTGTACATATAGTCTATGTCATGTACGTCCACCTGTCGGAAAAAGTACCTTAGAACAGTTGTTGTTGTTGTTGTTGTCGTTGTTTTTCTTCACAATAGACTCGTGTCAGTTGCTAATGCCAAAATCTAGCAAAGACTCGGTCCGTGGTCACAAAAATGCTAGAGCCATCAGAAGATCTAAAGTACACACACACTATTAGCAAGGAAAGGGTACGCAAGCCCGAGGAGGTACACCTGCAATCCCTGCAGCACGTTTGCGTGCTCACAACTGAACAGTAGGTTGGGTTCAACCGATGCAACACATGATAACATAGATATGATACAGGATTGTTATGGTGGTGGAGTTGAGTGAGGCTTGAGCCCCGAGTGCGTGGGTTTTGCGAACACAACAACCCTAACACCTACTACATCATCAAAACAATGGCCCGCAAAACAATTGCTTGCGTAGGACATGGTCTCACAAGGTCATCAACAGTCCATATTGTGATCTGATGTTGGCTGTGTGTGCTTCTTGGAGGAGAGGATGCGCACACAACACTACACGGGTAACGTTGGGCGCCACCACTCCCTCCTGCCTCTGCCGTGTGTGCGTGTATTGTGTTGTCTGTTGTGTCGCAATTGCGATGTGGTTGTTGCTTGACTACTGCTGTAGCAGCAGCGGTCGCTCTTACTAGCCAACCAAGCCGCCCGATCAATCAATCAATTTTGTTAGAAGACGTCAGGCTTCTTCAGCGGATGAGCCGATGAATAATAACACCGCGAGCACGGGCAAGCGACAGGGAGGGTGATTGAGTTGGACGCCGCTCCTGCGCTGCCGCTCGATCCTCCTTCCATGATTGATGTCAAGGGCGTGTCTGTGTGTGCTGGTGCTGCCTCTCCCCTCCGCCCGCTCAGCGCAGCGCGACACATTGGCAAATATATGCATATATATGCATGTCAACCATGCAGGATCGGTCTCGCTTTCATAGCGTAACCCGTGCATCTCGCATATACACTGCAGCAAGCAGTCGTCCACGGGGTATCGTACCCGTGTGTGCATGTTTCCAAACGGAACAGAGTTGTGCTGGGGTATTGCCCGGCGGCCATTGTTGATTTAGATCGGAAGAGTTGATGGTTGGTGTTGTTTCGTAGGGGCGGAAACCGATTCCTGCCCCGTTGCCATGGTTGTTATTGGGCAGGAAGATTCGCCGTTGGTATCCCATAGTTGGAGGGGAAAAGGAGTTGGGAAGATTCCTGCGGGGGAAATGATTGATGAAAGGGTCTGATTTCCCGACAGGTCAGGGTACGTTCCCGAAAACAGGGTACAGTTTTTGAGAAAAGTGGTCACGGCACGGTATATCCTGCCCCTTTTCGGACACACCGGGGTGAAATTGGGCGGTGACCAATGAAATGAGTGCATTTTCAGCTGTTAATGACTGTGTACCCAGGTGTGTCGCTTGTCGACCAGGTTATACCCTGTTGTGTCGTTTTTCCATAAAAAAAATTGGATGCTGACAGAGGAGCGCAGAGCTGAGCGATGCTGCCCGGGGTTTCACAACGTATGCTGGCGTGCACAGGGCTCTCGGGGGCGCGTTTCTAGCTACCCTCTGCAACCCACTTTCATCACGCCCCCGCGCGACGACCGCCTGAGGGTTAAGCTGGCCTCTTCGCCAGGCGCGCCAACACCATCACAAGGGAGGTTATGTGCCAGGGTAGAGCGAGTTCCGTTCTCGGTGAGTCTTTTTGTCGTGACTTCGTGAGGGCAGCAACCCGGGGTAGTTCCGAGGCGAATTCCGACCACCGTCGCAGGCGGGTCTGTGTCGCTGAAGAGGGGGAGTTTCCTGCCGTCGCGTGTGTCGACAGTACATGTCTGAGGCTCTCTTGGATAGAAATCCGTTTGGAAGATGGACTTGTGTCCGCAGACTTCTCGCCAAAAATGCGGACCAAAAATCTCACCTTGGTGACAGCCCCAGTTCTTCGGTTCGCCCCATGGGGGCAGGGGCAGAGGTGCCGGTAGGGCGGCGGGCCCGTATGGCGCCCCAGGCCATTACGGTCGTGGCGGAGGCGGCCACGGAGGGGGCGGTAAGGGTCCGGCCCGGGTAAGCCGTTGCCTTTTTGCGGCAAGTGCCAAGCCCGTGGTATGGCGGACATTCGCCACCCTCATACCGCACGCCCTTTCACGACTTGCTTTCACTGTAGGCAACCGGGGCATACGAAGAGAAACTGCCCTCACCCATAGGAAGCCAAGATATTGTAGGTTCAATGAAGGCGTGTAAGGGTACCCGGAATTGAGGTTGGGAGGAATCACCGTTATGTCGGAAATATGCGGGTCAGATCATGATCAGGTCTCCAACCCCCCTTGACACATTGCTTCAATTGGGCTATCAGGGGCATGCCTGTTTTGGGCTTGAATTTCGGGAGAAGGAACTTCCCGCGCACAAATCAAGAAAAAAAAAAATGGAAACAGAGTCACGCAATTGATATCTTCTCGGACGTGTCTATCTGTTGCACAACCCTCGTTTAATCTGACTGTGGTCGGCGGTTGGGCGCGAGGAGCTCGCAGACGAAGTAGTTCGGGCCAGCATGTCATATGTGGCCAACAGTAGTCCGGATTCGAGACGCTCGAGGGAGGTCTTTAATCGCATAACGAATGTTCAAGTATACTGGTTATTATTGAACGACACAGGTCGGCGCAGGAGCAGATATTTTTCTGCTGGAACGCACGCACTCGCTCGGTGAGCGGGAAAGCAATTAGCGAGCACCATTTTCAGCGTCCAGCCGACGACCTCAACAGAGACGTATTGTTAGCTGAACAACCTTCGATCACTGTAGCGGATGCCCCCATCTGGGATGTCGATGACTTTGTCCCAGGCCAAGTGTCACAGGCGGCCGAGTTTTGGGTTCAAGAGATCCTCGCGGCATGCCCGATCGAACAACGGCAGAGGTATCTGGGTTGGTTGACAGGAGTGAACGTTCACGAGTTTGTAAATGACAACGCAACCGGTGTTTTCCAAGGGCACCCTTCAAAGGAACAGATCTCACACCTGTCGAGTTACGGAATCACGTGGATGCCGAACACCACCTTTTTGTCGAGGAAACGATCGCCGGTTATGTCCGCACGGGAGTGGTAGTGCCATGTCGAGAGGAAGCCGATACGAAAATTCACAACAAACCGGGAATAGTCATGCCGCTCGGAGTAGAGCCTTCAAAACCTAAACTGACGTTCGATGCACGGTTCCTGAACCTGATGATGAAGGACTGCCCATTCCCCATGGATGGGGTCGGCAAGATAGCCCAATGTGTGTGGGAAGGAGCGTTCCAGATGAAATGTGACCATAAGGCGGGTTTCCACAATGTACCGCTTGCAAAGGAATCTTGGCAGTACTTTGGTTTCCAGTGGAACGGGGAACACTACGTCTTCACGACATTGTGTTTTGGATGGAAAATCTCCCCGTTCATCTATCACTCGCTATCAGAGGCTGTAGCCGGATATCTACGTCAACAAGGCCTCCCGGTCCTGAAGTGGATAGATGATTTTTACTTAACGACTTCCGGTCGACCTTGGCACTCACGTCGGAGGAGCAATTCACGGCGGCTCAGGCAGCGGGTACTTGGTGATGAGCGTGTTTTACAAGGCAGGATATTTTATGTCGATCCCCAAGTGCGAGCTTGACCCTACCACGAGTATTATTTTCCTTGGAGTACGATCAGACTCCGTCGCACAGTGTTTTACTATTCCAGCGGAGAAGTTGGAGAAGTTGGAAGCGCTCATAAACGAAGCCATATCACGAGGGTCCATTGCCTTCCCCACGTTAGATAAGGTAGCGGGGAAATGTACTATCACGTCTGTGGCGTGCCCGGCGGCTATGCTATATACGCACCACATGCACAAGCAGATTGGCGAGTTTCAGCGCCGGGGAGGGCGGAAGAAGCAGTTTGAATTCACCATCCCCCCAAATGGTGGCCTGAGATACGAGTTGGACAAGTGGTTAGAGGTTCGACACAGGATGAATGGAGCGCCATGGCACAAGGCCATACATCAGCGACTCATTCTTGCAGGGGCTTCGGATGCCTCTTCCAGCGGATGGGGGGGACTGATCCGACGTGTTTCAGGCGGCGGGAGATTTCCGGGAACACTTAGTCACGGCACATATCAACGTGCAAGAAGCGTACACGTTACAGCAACTCCTTACGTTATTTTGTGGCGATAGACCTGAACAAGCGCAGGGTACGACGATTTTCGTCGACGTAGACAATACCGTCCTCTTTCATGCGATGAGCGAGGCCGAGCCAAGGACACTACCATGATGCACGAAATTATATCAGACTTGTTCTGGCTACAAGTTCAACGCGAGTTCACGCTTAAGCTGCAGTGGGTGCCTTCGGCAGGCAGCGAATGCAGAAGCTGATGATTTGTCTAGACAAGAGGCAGACGCGTGTGCACGATTAGAAAGGGCGAAGTTCGAGGAAATCTGCCAATGGGCGGGACGGCCTTTTGACATGGATTGGATGGCGACTCCGGCTTCGGTTCACAGAATACCTGGGAGTACGAGGCCTCTTCCATTTTATTCACGTTCCTCCACGGAGGAGTGCGGAGGGATTGACGTCTTAGGACAGGATCTGAGTAAGATCGCGGGATCCGACGATCCGTGTTTTGGATTTTACTTTTCACCGATGACCATGATAGGCGTAGTCCTGCAACGCATGGCGGAATCTCGAGCGCGAGGAGTGATAGTGGTGCCAGATTTGAGGGCAACATGGTATCCTATGCTCGAAGGGTCAGCAGTTAGATCGAAAATGTTGGCAAGACAAGCAGAGGACGGTGTGTTTTTCCGGATGAGCCATAATAGAGGGCAAGTATCCTTTAGTTGTATACGCTGGGCGACGAGGGTTGTTGAGGTAATTTTTTAACCGTTGATGTTTGTGTATTATCACCGGCAGCTACTAGGTGCCAGGCTTTACAGGCGATTCGCACAGCCCTCACGCTCGCGTTGAGTGTCATCGGAGCATTGATTAGGTCAGCAATCAGCTCCGACGAAGCGCCTTCTGGAGACACGAGATCCCTCATCACAGCTTCACCTGTCCGGGCTCGAGTATTGTGCTCGACGTGTCTCGGGGAGAATGATGACCGATTTCTTTCTGTCAATGGTGTGGAGTCCGAGTTCCGCTGGAAGAGCTACGGCGAAATACGCCTTTGATAGTCGATGAACGGGCCATTACGAAGCGGATCTTCGAATTAAGACAAATGTGGGCCGAAAGAGCGTCTCAAAGAAGCCGGACAGCAACTAGTAAACAATTCGACAAATTTCTAGCGTCCCGCGAAACAGGAAGGGTGATTGTATTTGAGGAAGCGTGCCCAGAGGATGTGGTCCAGTACCTCTGTTCATTCACACGTGTGGAACGAGACGACGAACAGTGGAACATGCTCGCCATTGCAAAGCGATTGGGACGTCCGATTTGGGGCGATGCTCCATGACCGCAGGGGAATGCAATCGCAGATACGTTTATGAGTCTATGCGGACAAATCACGTATCGAAACTGGCAACGGTCTTCGAGAAGGAACTAGGTGTCACAGTAGATTGCAACCAAGTACTCAAAACGGGAAGTCCGGTGCAAAGTGATCTCGTTACTCAGTATATGGCGTTTAAGACAGAGCAGCAGAAGAGGGCAGGAGTTTTGGTCGAGCAAGCGCCCGTGCTGTTAAGCATTCATCTGACCACAACAATCGCACCAATGCAGGCTAGGCTGAGAAATACGTCGTCATCGCTTGAGCGCGTTACTCTGGATAGGGATATCGCTTTCTTCACGGTCGCGTTCAGTACGACGAAGCGAGCGAGGCGC